CGCCCATGGACTTCAGCAATTACAGGGGCAGAGCCAAGCCGCTGCCTACCGATTGTAATAGAAATGAAAATTTTGGCAATGTTCTACTTTATTATATCACCATGTCTTTCACATCATGTCAGTTTGTGTGGCGATCTAAAGTATTTGAACTTTAAATACTGTTTGAAGGTATCTGTAAGCGAATTATACTGTTTTATTTACATTATCTGTCTACTTAATTTTTCGAGATAGACATATTATGACTTTCAGTAACACAACATCTTAGCACCAGATGACCAGCAAATTCTTTTACCAAACTTGAGCAATATATATTGTTGGCAAAAATCAAGTAAATTTTTATTTCATCACCCGTCCACGTGATGGGTCTTATTTGTTTTTCCATAATTTGTCATTGTATTGACTGATTCACCGTATGTATTTAGATAAGGTTAGCTTCGTATAGCACTATTAATCACGTGAACTCATTGCCCACAACAATCGGACCCGTCGGTACCTTTATAATATTGTACCGGAGTTTGGCAAAGTACCTCACAAAATGTTGTTTGCAACGCGAAAAATACGCGTCATCGTTCCAAAGAAAAGATCGCTTGTATATACAATGAAATAGCGTTGATGAAGCAAAAGTATTTTCAATATTCGAATCTTTTAGAACAGGGTCAGCTTATGAAGCAGAAAAAAATACTAAATAATCACCTAAAGCCGCTTTTAAAATCAAATGTGACCAAAACTTTTTAATATATGACATTTTTTTCTTTTTAAGACATCCACATAACTGAGCTAAACATTTAATTATTACTCTCTTAACCACGGGTAATAGAATAGATATGAACAAGATTACTAGCAAGCACTCTGAATAATATTTAACTTTATGTATTTAACTATAATTTTAATGTATCCTATTATGAGTGAATTGTATGTTCTTATGAGTAATAAATATTATTTAAACTTAACGCCTGGACAGTAGAGTTAGGTGACTTGGATCCTTGTGGCCTATTGACATTACTAACTAAGGTCAGGGATCTAGAGAACCAGCCCACTTAATCTACCCTATTAACTATACGGATGATTCGGTAAATTAGTTTGATTGGGCTGTTTGAACATTAAAATCGTTGTAAGAAATAAAAATTTAAATTAAGGCAAACATTACGCATCAAATGTTACAAACTGCGAATTGTTTTTTAATAACAATTGAGTTTTTAGTTTTGTTATTTTCCTCACGAACCTCCTTGGGTACGAAAATTCCGAAGCCCGTTATTGTATTTTTATGTTTAATCATAACAATTCGGTTTTTTTTTCTTTATCGTTCCCACACGTGGACGACCTCACAGCCCACATGGTGTTAAGTGGTTACTGGAGCCCATATACATCTACAACGTAAATGCGCCACCCGCCTTGAGATATAAGTTCTGAGGTCTCAGTATAGTTACAATGGCTACCCCACCTTTCAAGCCGAAACGCATTACTGCTTCACGACAGAAATAGACGGGGTGGTGGTACCTACCCGTGCGGACTCACAAGAGGTCCTACCACCAGTAATAAAATAAAATCGATAATGACATCTCCGAAAACTTCTTTTTATAACACAGAAACTCTTCGGCAGTGGAGTGGATGTAGGTGTAATAAATAAATCCCCAAACGAACTAGTGGTTCAAGTGATAACATTTGAAGAAATTATCATAACAGACCGTACACTCGAAATTGATGACAGGGGCCAACAAGGTCATTGTCCTGTAAATGGAACCAAATTCTCATAGAAATCTATCAATAACTACTAATGGCGTGCTTTGCCATCGCTTCGTCACGAATACAATAGCTGTGGTCATCCTGGGTAGTTAAGTTTTTTTTTTTTTCTATCAATAGTTTCTCAATATAACATGCGGGTCTTGGATGACTATCAATTCTCGGACACATTATAGGGGTTGAATGTTTGCTTATTAAATTAATTCAATGTTGTAATTCATGTAAGTTGATATTTCGTAACTTATAATTGAGTCGACTATTATCAAAGCCGGCAATGTGACTTTTGGACAATTATTGGTAAATCAGAAAAACGAATTATTGACTTTGTATTCCATTGGCAGTCACAAAACTCTTCTGAACGACATCTTAGATAAATAACAGGTTAAGTATTAACCTTTATTTAATGCAGGTTTTGAACCGTATTCTTTGAAGGAGAGGAGAGAGAATCTGTATTGACATATCAATAACATTTTTTTGTCCAAATGCACAGATTGCCACCTTTGATAATAGACGACTCAATTAGAGTCTTATATTTGACGCTGGCTAGTATGAAAACGACTTAAACTTAACCTAACTGGGATGAGCCGTGGCTAATTCATAGTGTCTTAACGGTGAGCAATCGTGAAAACATTAAAATTTTGGTCCGTTTCGGGACACTCATCCACGACCGTAAATTGGTAATAACGTCTCATGCCAGTATTTTCAGACAAATTACAGATTGGTCGAACAGAACTGATCAAAAACGTTTTCCTTAATCAAATTTTATTTTTACGTGTATATTTATTTATTTTTATACATAAAATAATAATATCTATTCATTTAAGTCAGCATTTTTTTGTATGTTGATATCTATGTAAAATGCATCCATTACTTTAACTTAGATGAATCTTGTGCAGCTGATGGTTGTCCGGAAAAGTTCGCTCTTATCGATTAGACCGTTTTGTGTACATTTTTGAATTTGATGTTTTTTTAATTAGTGTACAATGAAGCATACTCGCTGAATCAATGAATCTAATCAAGTAATAAATTTTTAACAATTTATATTTATACATTAATGTCTAAAATTTAATTCTAGTTTAAAACTCTTTTTACGTTTTAATCTCATGTTTTTTTACTATTATTATATTATATCCGAAGTTTTAAATACTTTACAATTTCCATGGTCACTGGACTTTGACGACAGACGATATCCAAATTAAATCGCAAAGAGCAGTTTCTTAATGTCTACGACTCGCCGAAATAAAAATAAAATACCTGAGTTAAAATATATATACCTACCTACTTTATTACAATTTTAATATATTCGAGATGAAACTATAATATTCTATTGTTGCAAAGCCGGTTTTAGAGTATAAATGATTGCCTAATAATAAGACGTCATGGAAATTTCTGGATATGTTTTGTAATGCTAATAAAGAAATTTTTTTTCATTTAAACAAACCAAAAATAGAAATTACATATTTAAAACATTTTTTTGCCTTTCGTGATGATTTTACGATATACTTTAAATAATTGATTAATCACCTAGAGAAATAAAATACTGGACATACCTAAATAAAATAATTATTTTACAATTCACATCTGCGTTTTCACGTAAGAAAATAAATTTCACTCCTAGCTATTGTAGCATCAATACATGTTGATTGTCTATCATTAGACATTACAAGTGCCTATTTTCGATGTATACTTAAATGATTATAATAAACGCGTGTATCTAGATTACGTAACGTAAAAAAACTAGCAAACTTATTATTTTTAATCATATTTGTAGAACATTAGAAAGCTGCACGAAATTTTGTACTTGGGTACATAATCTAAAGGGCATTTAAAAGTGTGTCAAACTATAAAGTGAAAAGTGAAAGCGGAAACAACATACATACATAATCTAAGCTATTTGTGAACGCACGTCGTGCTGGCTGGAATGAAAGTTTCGTTCACATTAAAATTTAAACAAATACGAATGTAGAATATTTTATTTTCTATTTTGGCAATAATTACATCCTAATAGCGAATAGGCAATAAAAACTTTAAACTAGATACGTAAGACGTTTTACTTTCTAAACAAAATTCTTAAACTCGTGTAATAACATCATAAATATATTATTATTAATTTGGGGAGGCTTAACGATGGAAGGAAGATCTTCCACCGAGCGGGTGATATTTGCTCGGTAGACCGACGCGACGGTCCGTATGTTGTTGTTCGGAACTTGTATATATGCAAGCTTGTCTTGAAAATGTAATTGAGATTCAGGCATCTGTCAAATATCTTGCGTTGTATGATGGCTACCCGCCACAGCTCTGTGAATATTTTCTTTTTTCAAACGAAATACTAAGAATCCATTTTAAACTGGTTCCAAAATAATGGATGGACGTTGCTAGTCGCGCTACGTAATTTTTCATTATTTGAAATCAGAATCGTAGATGAGTGAGAGAAATATTGACGTGCAACACGCATTGACAACGCGCAGACAATTGTTTAGTTATGTTCAAGGACCTGTAGTTTTTTACATAATAGGCTTAAATCACGCTTTTCAACTGAAGATTATGTTTCCGTTTAAGATAGTTACAACGATTACTGTTGTCTTATTTGAATAAACATAACTTTCATTGGTCCTTCTCTACCAAATCATTTTTTTAATCGAACGCTGGCTGGATGTTAATATTATTACTCCATTTATTATATTATTCTGCAAAAGAAACTAAAAAAAAATTACTAGCAGACGTTACATTACCATAACTATTGTACGATTTTGATTGTTATGTTCCCGCCATAAATTTAAAATCACTAATAGGTATGTAGCCCTCTTCACCTCCCCGAGTAATAGAGGAGCCCGCCAAAACAGAATTATTTTAGAACCATAATTTAGTAGGCGTGGAGATTTTAATTTTTATTGTAATTAACAGTTAACATTAAGAGTACTATCATCATTTAGTTGCAAGTTTACCAGAGGAAACTGGTTTTGGGTAAATAGCAAAAGTCAATAATACCTTAGAGTGACGTAAAAAGTCAACACTATTATTAATACTACTACATTTTGTCAAAACGATATAATATCTAGGTATTTAACAATCAGCTAATATATTCATTCACTTTTAATCACACATCTATGCATATTGTTATTTAAAAAAAGTGAAGTGGTGTAATGTTTATTTTTGTATCAAAAACCAGTTCACAAACAAGCAAAATAAAAAAAATACTTTTAAAGTGCAGACCAAAAAATACGTAAATAATAATTAAAATACTTTAATTCATTACTTACTGTCCTTCACGAATAGCGCAAGAAGCAAAACGGGCACAAGAAACGATAGTTTTGCCATTATGATGCACAATAAACTCACTAGGTTATCTGAAAACACGAGAGACGTCTATCGTTTGCACGAAATTGCGAACGAATGACCGAAACGAGTGATCCAGTTGGCTGAGTCTGAATGCCGACCGCAGTCGCTTCAATCGCTTTGGTTCGCTATCGTTCTAGTGATAGTGACTCGGTGAGTAGCATAGCATCGCGCTTTCAGCCAGTGCGTAAATATTCCACTATTTAGCGGCAAAAACGCTGCGTTACATATTATCGTCTTCTCGCATTAGAACTGTATAATCTCAAAACTTACAAATTTTAAAGGAGTTAAAGGTTTAACATGTGATATTTTTAATAGTAATCATCTTTGCAACGTTTATTTTTTATTTTTTACCAGTTATATTAACTGTCTTTTAAAGTAAGATAAAATTATGTATTAATTTTGTTAGTAGTAGTCAAAACATAGGTAAACTAAAAAAAAATTAAAACTAAAAAAAGAGCGTAGCTCTTTTGACAGTATTTATTAGAAAAACTAGAGGTCCCGCAGTAGTCGAAATTCGACTATAATTGAAATTGTAAGTTTGTACACTATTATGATTGTATTTTATACTTCTATCACAAATTTCGCCAAGGCTACACTATAAAACTATATTAAAGACAAACAATATTTAATCTATTCTCAATTTGACCACAGACGTCAAGAACAAAAGTTTCACAATAAATAGTTTTGTTAAACTTTGACGGCCTAATTCTCGCGGCTTTTGACGGTATTAATTTACAGTAATCATTGATCCGAGCACAATTCAGACATGCGAGTACAATCTATTTATTATCAATAAAATTATCAACTACTGCACTCCCACACAAACACAGTGGTTTGCAATTTGTACATTTAAGGTACACAGCGGTTAAAACGCACGCGTGTGGCCATCCTATGCCGCGTCTTTTGGCTGTCCTCAATACTATTGAGGTACGGTAATGTTTGTACTTGTGTGTGCTTATGTCAAAGATTACAAAGTCTTTATAATAGATAGCCAACGTTCAAAGTCACCTTATCTGTAAGATAATAATATATAAGCGAAAATAAAACTAGCGCCTTAAGGTTTTCTGGTGTAAGCTAATCTTTTCTCTTATTTTGTTGAATTTTGTTCATGTATTATGCTTGTACCAAAAACAAACACGCCCGCACAAGACAATATTGATACAAGATTTCATTGTATGAACACTATGAACTATATTTGGTTTCCTTGACCTGTACACAGAGCGACAGAACCATATTATGAGAAACTAAACAATTAAAAATAATAAATATTAAGGATATTCTTTAACACCGAATCAATTACTATATTTTTTTGAAATTAAATTGTTTTAATTAAACGCCGAAAGGAGTTGGCTACGACCGAGGAAGTGGTAGGCCGTAGAACCATCGGTCTTCAATAGCACTAAAATGAGAATGAGAATTTTTTTACTGGTGGTAGGACCTCTTGTGAGTCCGCATGGGTAGGTTACCACCACCGCCTTGCTTATCTCAGCCGTGAAGCAGTAGTGCCGTGAATGCGTTTCGGTTTGAAGGGTGGGGCAGCCGTTGTAACTATACTGAGACCTTACAACTTATATCTCAAGGTGGGTGGCGCATTTACGTTGTAGATGTCTATGGGTTCCAGTAACCACTTAACACCAGGTGGGCTGTGAGCTCGTCCATCCATCTAAACAATAAAAAAAATCAATATATTCATCATGTCTCCAGGGTTCGGTAAATGCTTATTACGAGGCCAGAAAAATACTGACCGAATTAATTTATTTAAAAATGTACCATCAGCAAAAAGCATTGATGTATACAGTCTATTTTAATCTATGACGAGATAGAATTTGGGCGGGTTTGGTTTACTAATATTTGTCAGGGACGTAGTTTTATGGTTTCAGCATATGCATATGTACGTACATCACATTGTAACTGGCCGATTTTCAACAGTCAACGACCTAAAGCCGCTATGTTGTTGTCATTCAATATATTTTAGTAGCATAACTTAGTTTCCTAAAAAATATAGGTAGTAATAGCAACCCAAACGCCTGTCGCGTCGGCAGCCGCGTCTGATCGCGCGCCGCGACCAATCAGGGACTCTTGTTGTCGGCTCCCGGCGTGACTCAAAGAGTAGGACCGAAGGGCTTTCCCTTTGGCAAGCCGCGCGCTCTTTTTCGGGCGCCGACACTGCCAACAGTTACTGTTCACCGGGTTCACCCGCCGCAACCACCGAAGCATACACACGAGAATACGTCCGCACCTCGTTCGCTAGGTACCATTCCTTTTCGAACTTGTTTGTGGGACCCTCTGGAGTATTCATGCCCAGTGCTCCAGCTGGACAACACAAAAGTAGTTATTACTATTATTTATTATATTACTATTATCATTCAGCTATTTATTATTGATAAATAATAAACGGAAGATTATCCATCACAGCCCATGATCATAAGAAAGTCGAAAATAACGCTTCAAACTGCAAACTGAATATAATAATTTAAGTTCTATCGAATCTAATATTACTGTTTTTAATAATTAATGTTACATTTTATCCGAATTTCTAAATATTCAGGATCTCTGAAAGTCAAAGTAAATGATAATGTTTTGCAGGTAACATTTCGAATTATTCACTGGCCAAAATTTTTATCTATGCTAGGCTTCACAAAGGTTCCTACGTGTGCAAACAAAAAAAAGCATGGGATCGTATATCCAATCAAATTGTAATTGATTTTACTAATGCAATGTTGATTGATTTAAATTTTAAATCGAATAAATATGTTTCTTTAAAAACAGATTATTGATAAAATTAGAAGTCGAAAAGTATTTTGGTAAAAGTAGGTAGATTTTAGTTGCTCTGAGGAACCTAAAAATTTGTCATAAATTTAATTTTTGATTTCGCTTCTCACACTAGTATAAAATGTAATATAGGTTAGATCGTTAAAGTTTAATGTTCTCTTAATTGAAATGCTTTAAAAGTGTGTTAAATGCATACCTTAATTCATTGTAGAACAAAGACAAGTTGTTAGCCACTTATGATTCTCGAAATTTCCTTAAGCGTTACCTTCATTAGTGGTTAAGATTGGTGACGGGTAATTTTAATGTGCTGCAAGCTAAGAAGAAAACCCTATTAATTACGTACCTATTTTATCATCGCGCATATTTATACTATGAATACTCGTACTAATATTACGGGTTCTTAACATAATTTGTAGTATTAATTTGTAGTTTTCGATATTTTGGCGCTGTATGCCAATTGCCATTTACCACAAATACCCTACCCGAAGTTCTAGTCCAGTCTACCCGTGATCATGATCAAACTAATAATCGTGGTAAGAAAGAGGTCATTAAATAATACTCTGTTCATAAACCCCATTAATTATGATTTAATTTAAAATTTTACATTAAATCTAATCTTATCTTCTCTATCTCTAATCTTAAAAAAATAATTTTTAATTTTATTTTTATTTTAATAATGTTTTTTAGATTTTAGACTTAGATCGATAGACAAGTCCAAACATTATCGAAGGGGACAAAACACGATGATAGTTGCAATAAATGACACTAAATAAGTTTTGGGTATCAGAGATATCTATTCGGCAACCCGAACATTAAATTTCATATAAAATGACCTACATAGCGCACATGCTGTATGTAAATATGTACCTAGATCTCGAAAGAAATGTGAAATGTAAATTGCGATTTGGATTTCCTGATACGAAAATTTCTTTCTACTGTTAACTAAGCTTTTATTCTTCTTTTCTAAAATTGTCTATAAGTATAATTAATTAAAATTAAAAATCAACTGACCCTTTTTACGCCTTGCTCATTCAACCACTTTCGCCATCTTTCTTTTCTCGGTCATTCTCTTTTCCCTTTCTTACCGCTTTCTCTCACTTACATCTTACCGCTCCGTTCCACACTCTTTTCATACGTTCCATTCTTACCAATTCTACATACCCACCTATAAAAGAATATTTAATGAATTAGATGAAGTAGAATGATAATATAGAATATATGAAGAAGATAAGAAACTAGAGAATTTAATGAATATAGATAGAATCTACCTATAAATACCTATAAATCTATTCTACCTAGAAATATACTGCTGTACCTACCTATAAATATTCGAATTTTATTACGGACAGCGTATAAAAGAAGTAGTATATAATACGTAAACTATTCTATTTTAGTTGAAGAATGACAGTGATTCTGACTCATCGACTACTTCCTGGTTGTGGGCAATTACGACAGAATTGTGTCCCAATTATGTCTTTAAATAAAACAGTTTAATAATTTCGTCTCCATCATGGTATTTAATAATTTTCATACCTTTGTTTTGAAATCCCACACCATTTCTTTGTTGTAATACCTACATCAAATTTAAACGTGTACCTACCTTCTACTCACCTATTAGGATTATTGTATTTCATTGGATGTATTAAACATATTACATTGCATACGTAAGAATTAAGAATCTAGGAATATTGAAATTGTGAGTTAATAGCAGGCACGTGTAATTAAATGACGCAATGATGAGATTCCAAATTTAGACGGGACCTGGTCGCCCTAAATTTAAACTGACAAATTTTGGATAAGGTTGGGTGAAACTTATCCGAAATTTGAAGTGAAGTGAGGTCATTACAATGAACCGTTTATTTCAACCGACTTGCATCGATCATACCTAGTTATCCAATTGTCATATCCGAGTGTAATGGGATTTGTTTTGCTATAGGTATAACAGGGGGTCCCAATTACATCAAAGTTAATAATATATTAGTCTATATTTTGGTGTAGATGGACAGAAATAATGAATTATGGCAGATGCTTTAAAAAATTTCTGGTTGCATCTGTGGAAATTTTGTATTAATTGAGTAGGTACCATCGAGATTATTTTAGTACGTAATATCTCGATGGTAGGTACCAAATTCGATGATATTGAAATGTAGGCTAATAGAAAACTACAAAACAAACGAATGGCGCCTCGTCGTTAATTTTATTCTTTTAGAAATCAATTCAATAAACTTGGTTATTGCTAACGTGTTCCGAAGTGAAATTAGAATGTTTTGGCGGCGTTGCGTAACTATGAGAGTGTATGTTTCGTAACCACCGGTACAACAAATACGACAAAGAAGGTGACGGGGAGAGAACGGGACACCCTATTGCATCTGTCTCCGTCGCACTCGAAGCAAAAGTCGAGCTTCACTATGTTGTTGTAAGCGTCGTGCACGCTCTTTAAATCAGCACAAGTACCACGTTCGGAAACGCAGTCACGAATGTACCAAGGCATTTTCATATCTGAAATGAAAGTGTGGATTTTTACTGCTTTAAGAGTAGAAAATTACATTCTGCTTTTCTTAATGGTTTTTAAAAGCATCGCAAAATATTTTCTTCTGTTTTAAACATTTTATAATCTACTCTGGTCGATTAGCAAGTGCAAGCGAACCTACAATATAACTGATCATGGTGGGCAGAATTAAAGAAACAAGAGACGAGTGGAAGATGTGACGAATCGTGCCTAAGGAATATCAGAAATTGGATAAAAATCTGCAGAGTAGGTACGGAAGTTGATTGGCTTGATATAATAGACAAGTTCAATCAACAATCAAACTCTAACAGTGAACAAGTCCTTGAGAAGACAATTTATTTTAAATGTACAACTCGACCAAGCTAAGTTTGTATCATGCATCGATTACGTCACACTGCCGCTTAAGTATGGTCTGAAAAAAGGATTCACTATGACTTTAAAAATGTAAACAAATGTTTGTTAGATTTTACTTTGGATTTATTGTTTTTAACAATATATTATACATAGGTACATTAGCATATAGCGATATCGGGTTTTTGTATTAAGACCACACAGGCGTTCTTGCACTTTTTAAATTTGTATCCCAATTGCTCTGTAATAATTTTCCTTTATGTTTTTTTTTTCAGAATTATGTTTCTCCTTTCCTTTAATTTTTGTTGCCCACAACAATCCTCTCGAAGTAAAAAAAAAATCAACGTTAAGCGCTCAGTAACAACAGTTCAACAAATCTTGACAAAAATAGTCCAATAATATAACTAAACTTCAACAAAAAACCTAACAAGAACAGCTATAAAATTTAAAATTCAACGGATAGGGAGACGAAAACTCGTATGACGCGTGTCGGCGACAAAGATGCTAAACATACTGACGCGGCAAGGCGATCGCGGGAAGGTCAGCGGAGAAGCGGGCGGGGTGCCGCAAAAAAGTTAAATTATTTTTCTCTGTTTTATTGTCATATATTATGTTTTCAGGTTCCAATTTCAAATTGGTAATAAAATACGAAAAGCTATTGTTCGATCTTCAAAAGAAGTTATAACTCGGATATTGTACGTAAAAACTTCTTCGTACGTAAAAACGAAGGTCTTAACCTTCATGGCTCTTTGTTAGGCTGTCAATAAAATTGTCCATTATTTAAAAAAAAAAAAAAAACGAAATAATTAAAAATCTTGATTTGAATAATTTAAATGCTTTTTGAACTAACAAAAAAACATAACACAGTGTTAAGTTTTAAAAATCAACATTTTTTTTTTTTTTGTTGGAATTGGGCACGAGTTGAGAAAATAAAAGGAGATGTATCGTTTGAATCGACATTGCTTTCGCGTCGTTCCAAAGTAACGCTATAGGATTCAGAGACGACACTACCGCCTTAAAAAGACAAAGCCGTCTGAGAGAAAAATTACGCGTTAAAAAACATGAAAAAAAGAGAATTCATTTATTAAAACATACTTAAATTGAATTAAGCAGTGTGCTTAGTGCGTGTTTTTTAACGTTCTCGATAGCGTAAAAGTTAGCCCAATTTTGTATGCAGTTGAAACAGCGCCTTTAGCGGTAACGATCCCATTCCTCGTTTGGATATCGAGTAGAGGGAACTCGTTCTCGTCCCCGTCAACTGACTGCCGGAGTCCCGCAAGGCTCCGCGCTCTCCCCGTTATTATTTAGTTTGTATATCAATGATATACCCCGGTCTCCGGAGACCCATCTAGCGCTCTTCGCCGATGACACGGCTATCTACTACTCGTGTAGGAAGATGTCGCTGCTTCATCGGCGACTCCAGATCGCAGTAGCCACCATGGGACAGTGGTTCCGGAAGTGGCGAATAGACATCAACCCCACGAAAAGCGCAGCGGTGCTCTTCAAAAGGGGTCGCCCTCCGAACATCACTTCGAGCATCCCACTCCGTAGTAGGCGCGCAAACACCTCCGCCGTTAGTCCCATCACTCTCTTTGGCCAGCCCATACCGTGGGTCTCGAAGGTCAAATATCTAGGCGTCACCCTCGACAGAGGGATGACATTCCGTCCCCATATAAAAACGGTACGCGACCGCGCCGCGTTTATTCTAGGACGACTCTATCCAATGCTTTGTAGTCGAAGCAAACTGTCCCTCCGCAATAAGGTAACTCTCTACAAAACTTGTATACGCCCCGTCATGACGTATGCAAGCGTAGTGTTCGCTCACGCAGCCCGCACCCACTTGAAATCCCTTCAGGTTATTCAATCACGATTCTGCAGGATAGCCGTCGGAGCGCCATGGTTCCTTAGGAATGTGGATCTCCACGATGACCTGGAGCTCGACTCTCTTAGTAAGTATCTACAGTCGGCATCGCTGCGCCATTTTGAGAAGGCGGCACGACATGAGAACCCTCTCATCGTAGCCGCTGGAAATTACATACCCGACCCAGTAGACCGAATGGTAAACCGTCGACGTCGCCCAAAGCACGTCATTACGGATCCTCCTGATCCATTAACGGTGCTTTTAGGCACCACAAGCACCGGTCACCGTCCTCGTCGAACCCGTCGCTTGCGACGAAGGGCTCGACGAGCGAACTAACCCATAGACACAGCCCACTGAGTTTCTCGCCGGATCTTCTCAGTGGGTCGCGTTTCCGATCCGGTGGTAGATTCTGCGAAGCACTGCTCTTGCTAGGGTCAGTGTTAGCAACTCTCCGGTTGAGCCCCGCGAGCTCACCTACAAACGTTAGGGTGAAGCTGAAATAGCCTCTCAAGGCTATCAGCATAGGTAGGAAAAATGAAATCCCATTCCATACAAATATGAGTTAACTTTTACGCTATCGAGAACGTTAAAAACTCGCACTAAGCACACAGGAAGTTTTTCGATATAAATTCGACCCCGTAGCTACGTACCACTATAAAGTTCCGAATACACAATGCATTTTTTGTTCTTCCATCTGTCATTTGTTGAAGGGCAGGTCTTGAATGTTGTGTTTCCCAAGACCACTGGGCAGTCAATACACGAATAACATTGGTTTACCCGTACACGGCCTTCCGAAGAGTAAACCTCTGAACGTTGACTCCAATTTTCTTTTTGTACACCTTGATCCTGGATATCATCTACAGAAGCAGTATACGTATTTTGATGAAGGAAACTCTTACAATTTTAATTTGGCGATTTTCTTATTCATTTACTACGCCATTCTTACGATGACTAAGCTGCTGATCAAACAAGCTGCTGGTCGTGTCAAAACTCGAAAAGAGTACCGAAAAAACTGAGCTTGACAAAGCTAAAATTTATTGGGATCTAACAGGCCATTATGGATGGGTTGCATACTTGTATTTATAAAATAGCTAACAGATTAATATGCCTGGCATGAGCGCGTACATGAAGCTTTAAAAAACATAGGTACCACCATCCTGCCACATTAGGCAAAAACATCAGGATGACCTAATGAGTTTTGATGCTAATGCTATTTGAGCAATAGTCTGCTGTCATACAACATAGACTTCAGCCTTTTGTTTTAAGCATGTATCGACAGACACGTATCACATAATTGTGTATAATGAATAAAATGCATTGAATTAAATAATTGGAAATAAGTTAAGGAATGAAGTCGTCGTGGCCTAACGGATAAGACGTCCGGTGTATTCGTGTTGAGCGATGCACCGGTGTTCGAATCTTAGGCGGGTACCAAATTTTCTAATGAAATACGTACTCGACAAATGTTCACGATTGACTTCCACGGTGAAGGAATAACATCGTGTAATAAAACTCAAACACGCAAAAATTATAATTTGCGTAATTACTGGTGGTAGGATGTCTTGTGAGTTCGCATGGATAAGTACCACCACCTTGCATATTTCTGAATTGAAGCAGTAATGCGTTTTGGTTTGAAGGGCGGGGCAGCTGTTATACTGTTAAAAAGGATACCTTACATGTCATGTCTCAAAGTAGGTGGCGGCATTTACGTTGTCGTCTATGGGCTCCAGTAACCACTTAACACCAGGTGGGCCGTGAGCTGGAGATCCACCCATCTAAGCAATAAAAAAAAAAGAAATAAATAAGAAATACCATTTGATTCGACACCGGCAATGAATACTACAGCTACCACACGACTAACGAACAGAATAAGTCTAATCATGCTGTTTCAAGCATTTATCAAACACTGAAATAAAACTGAAAGTTCGCTATGCAAAATGCAGTATAATCGCATATAATCGGAGAAGAACAATACGTTTTGCAAGTTCCCTTGAATTGTATGCATTCAGCGAAGCGATGCTCACTGCGCTTCAATACTAATTATTTTGATATCCAAGTACCTATATCTATTCGTGCTAACGCAGCGACGTAAGCTACAAACATCGGACCTTTAATTAAAGGCAATTATAGTATTTTTGACATTAAATGATTACCAGATATACTGAAAAAGACATCACAATCTAAGTCGTCATGGCCTAAAGGATTCATACGTCGGTGCATTCGTATGTAACGATGCAACAGTGTTCGAATCCTACCGGCAGATAAAAATTTTTCCAATGAAATACGTACTTAACAATTAACAGCCTGGCCACGGGACATTCGCCGATACGAATATTCGCGCGGTGCGAACGGCGAAGCGTCTAGCGACTAAAACAAGCGCATAGAAATGTACCTAACAAGCCACGCGCACCGGCGACTGGCGAAGCGACCGGCGAAATGTACCGAGCGAATCGCGCGATGCGGCGGGCGAGCAAAACAAATGCATGAATACGGACGGCGCGAGCCAATTTTTGTAATGAAATACGTACTCAACAAATGGTCACGATTGATTTCCACGGTGAAGGAATAACATCGTGTAATAAAAATGAAATCCTCAAAATTATAATTTGCGTAATTAATGGTGGTAGGACCTCTTGTGAGTCCACACGGGTGGGTACTACCACCCTGCCTATTTCTGTCGTGAAGTAGTAATGCGTTTCGGTTTGAAGGGTGAGGCAGCCATTATTACTATACTTGAGACCTTAGAACTTATATATCTCAAGGTGGGTGGCGCATTTACGTTGTGGATGTCTATGGGCTCCAGTAACCACTTAACACAAGGTGGACTGTGAGCTCGTTCACCCATCTAAGCAATAAAAAAAAATAGCTAAAAAAAAATACTAGCTAGACCAGCTATTTGGAAGTCTAGCCACCCAAAGTATTTCTCGTACTTCTTGTGGAATTCTCCATCTATAGGTATACTCCGATTCTTATTCAAATCATGTACTTCACAATCTTTTCCAAATAATAGGTCCTGAACCAAAAAACTATTAATTTGTAAGCAATATCGAGATAATTTCGATATAGACATTTCGCTGTCGGACTTCCTTACTAGTCGCGGCGGCGAACGTGAGTACCCGTGGCCTGCAAACGGTGCTGCGCGAATGGTCGCCTCGTCCACCGCTTCGCTGTTCGCACCGCCGATCCCCGTGGCCAGGCCGTAATGTTCACGATTGACTTCCACGGTATACTCCGTACCACGAGTCCTGTCCCGCGGCCAAAAATAGAACTAATTATTTTGGTCAGCCATGTTGTTTGTTGTTGTTACTGTCAAATGCTGTTACTGTGTTCGGTTGTTGTCAAGATTTCTATTTATTTCCCTGATATAAAGTGTTCTATACAATGTCTAAAGTGATAAAAAGTGGTGGCCGAGAAATGATACTGCAAGTAATGGCGTTTTGTGAAGCAGAACAGCAAAATCAAGGACTTTTGATACCATTAGACAGTGTACGCAAGAGAGTTGCTGCCATTACAGGTACATATTTAGTGTTGCTAGTTAATGTGTTTTGCCATTCGATTTGGATTTTATTTTGTAAGAATATTTAAAATTTTGATTTTTGAAATTTAGATTTCTTGCTATTACAATCATCACTTTGTATACTATTTTACTACACAAATGATGATCTTAGGATTTTATTTATTCAAATTTTATCATTTGTTTCTTAAATTTTATCAATAATCTAGGACACTAGACTTTTTATTGAGCAAAGGAAGACAAACGAGCAGACGACATACACGACATACAAACGGCATATACAGCTAACTACCACTGATAAAAACTAAGTTAGTTATTAATTAAGTTACTTTATTTAGTAAAATAAAGACTAATATGGTTTAAAAAATTCCAGGTGTGTCTGAGAAAACCGTATCAAGAATAGTACAAGAAGGAAAGACTGCTGCAAGTACTTCAAAAAAGATTGTTACACCAGGGAAGAGTCGTGCACGTCCAAATAAGATCATTATAGATGATTTTGATATTTGTGCTATTCGCCATAAAATTCACCAATTTTATGCTGTAAAAAAGGAACTGCCGATATTAAACAAATTACTTGCAGTGTTGACACTGACAAGACTGATGTACAAGACATTAACTTTAAAGGAAGTCGTACCACATTGCATAGAATATTGAAAAAAATTGGATTTAAATACAAACGGTGCCAGTCCAAAAGAAAAATATTAATGGAGCGCTCTGACATAATTGCTTGGCACACTAAATATATAGAAAAAATGCGCAAGAATCGAACCAACGAAAAAAGACCCGTCGTATTCGTAGATGAGACTCATATCCACAGCACATACCATTCTAAAAGTTGTTGGCAAAGTGAGGAAGAGCCAGGACTTTTCACTTCACATTCTGTTGGAAGTAGATGGATAATCGCACATGCTAGTACAGAAAATGGTTTTATTAGTAATGCTTTACTTATCTTTAAATTTCAATCAAAGTCTTCTGATTACCATGATGACATGAGTTCAACCAATTTCCTCAATTGGATGAATGAAAAATTAATTCCAAATTTGCCAGCAAGGTCTCTTGTGGTTATGGATAATGCTCCATACCACTGTACCCAAATAAATAAAGCTCCAACCATGTCAACTTTAAAAGACGAAATGCGTAAGTGGTTACGAGAAAGCGGTATTTATTTTGAAGAGACTGGACAAAACCGGTATTATATAAACTTATAAAACAAAATAAAGGACCGCCTACTTATGCTGTAAATGAACTTTTAAAAAGTCACAATCACGAAGTTTTAAAACTTCCACCGTATTATTGTGATCTAAACCCAATTGCAAAGATATGAAGCCTTGTTAAAAGACGTGTGGCAGAGAAAAATTTGGAACAAAGCCCAAAAAATCATTGTGAAACTTACAGAAGATGCGTTTGCAAGTGTAACACCAGAATATTGGGCTATTCAATGTAAGCACGTGGAGCATCTAGAAGATGAATATTTTAAAAACGACGGTCTTGTAGACTAAGAAATGGACCGATTTATAATATTTACAGCAAGTGATAGCGAAACAGAATCTGATAACGATAGTGATATGAATGTAGATAATCCGAATAGTCCTTGCAGTATGTCTGGAATAACCCCAATAGATGACCATAATTAGACAATTAAAATTTAAAATGTCTTTTTTGTATTTAGTAGCATAGCGTTTGGAATAATAATATTAGTATAGATATAGATAGGTTAGGCCGATATCAAAAAATAATAATTTTTATTGTGTTTAATTGTGTTTTATTGTTTTTTTTGGGGGTAGGTGTCAAAAGTGAAACAAGTGCTTTAAGTTTGAAAATTAAAATTAATTCATTTTATTTACATTATAAAGATTTTGTGATCCTTTTGTGTGTCATTAAGTATATGGCATTAAGTATATGGCATGTTGGCAATATTTACATGATTTAAGCCAATAAAAATACCACCTGCCAGCACCCCTTGAAACAGAAACATAACTATGTCGCAATTATCTGCGATTGAGGTTGCTCAAAGAAACTTGGAAGAGTGCTTCACGAAAAGAATGGCCGATCTTGAGGCACAGCTTCATGCTGGAGGGCCTGCGAAGGATACAGTCTCCAAGGTTGCGGAGGAATTCCGAACATTCCGGGAACTTATATTCTCTATGTTGAAACTTCTTCGACAGCAGATTGGTGAGTGCACTCGACTGGTTGATGCGATCGAGACCAGACATCGTCGAAAAAACCTCATCTTTCTGGGAGTCCCTGAAGTTCAAAACGAAGACTGCACCGCTGCCATCTTGGATATTTTGCATAAAAAAATGCTTCTGAATACCTCTGCTGCTGACTTCAATGTGTGTCACCGTATAGGAGCTACTAATAAGGATCATCACCGCCCAATCCTGGTCAGATTGAAATGCTTAGATACACGGATGTCGATTTGGAGGACGAAGTCCAAACTTAAAGGTTCTCCTGTGTCCATCAAGGAATTCCTTACAAAATCTCGACAGGCGGTGTTCGGCAAGAGCCGTCAGTATTTTGGTGTGCGTCAATGTTGGACGCAAGACGGGGTCAAATCATCAAATCATAAATTGTGAAATGAAAATAATGATATACATACGTTGTGAAGTCATAAGACTAAATATATTAGTGAAAGTCGAATAATCTTAAGTAATTAAAGTGAAAAAAAAAAACAAAAAACACAAACACAGGCCACTAGGTCTTCCGCAATTTCGAGTTCACAGTGATAGCCGGTGCCGCCTTAGAGACGCTGCCCTTAGCTGATGTTGGCTTACCATCCACAATAGGATATTTAACTGCGAGGTCGCTAAACTCATCCATAGTGGTCAATCTGTGACGATTTCCATCCGCAGCCTTGATAATAAT